CTGTCGCCCATACTGGAGTGCAGTGGCTGCTCCTGGCCACCACAGCCTCAACCTGCTGGGCTCTAGCGATCCTTCCTCCTCAGTCTTCCAAGTAGCGGAACTACAGGCATGCGCTACCTTAATTAATTAATGGCTCCTCAGCTGGCATATCATATTCCTCATGACCCTGTAATTGGACTGCTACTACTTTTATCTATTGTTTTGATGTCTTCCCCACTGGATTGCAACACAGAAACTGGATCTCATTTATCACTTAGGACATATAAGACAATAAATCTAGGATGAAAGAACTATAGAGAATATCAAGTCAGGAAATGCTTACTCTCTAAGTATCTCTTACCTTCTCTGTAGGATAGGCTCCAGCCTGAACTTTTTTTGTTAGTGACTGCACTTGTGCAGTTACAGACATCACCTGAAATAAATCCAAACAAAACAGCTGACTAGAATACATCAAGTCATATCTGTGAATATGAAGGGCAAAACCTAAACAATGCCACCTAAAAATTATCTGAAACACTATCTAAAGTACAGTACTACCTTCTCTTCACTTCTGGGAAAGTACAGGAAAGATGATTCTTTAAAAGGTAGAAAAAGGTGTGGCACAGTGGCTCACACCTGTAATCCCAATACTTTGGGAGGCAGGGGCAAGAGGACTGCCTGAGCCCAGGGATTCAAGACCAGCCCTGGGCAACTTGGCGACACCTCGTCTCTATAATCAAAAAATTAGCTGGGAGTGGTGGCACGTGCCTGTGGTTCTAGCTACTTGGAAGGCTGAGGCAGAAGGATCACCTGAGCCCTGCAGGCTGAGAGCATACCACTGCACTCCAGCATGGGTAAGAGCGAGACTAGGACTAAAGAAAAGTTAAAAATAAAAGGTAGAAAAAATTTTCCACTTCTTATCTTTAACCAAATTTAAGGAGGAGATGGGAACTGGTATAACAGTGATGGGAGGACTTTAACTTTATGTGTACTGGTTGAACTTACAATGTACATATACAACTACAGACGGTTCCTGACTTACAATGATTCGACTTACAATTTTGCCACTTCACGAGAGTGTGAAAATAATAAACATTCAGTAGATATAAAACTCTGGTAATCCTGGGCGGCAACAGCAAGCTAAAGCTTCCAGTCAGCCATTTTTTTTAAACTTATAATATGTTCAACTTGTGATGGATTCATCAGGACATAAACCCTTCGTAAGTCAAGGAGCACCTGTACATAAATGTGTATTATATAGGCACCCAAATGTGTATTATATAGGCACCCAAATCAGTTATTCTTCCCATCACTGGTTTCCCTAGCTATACGACTAAAGGAAGATGATTCAGATGATTTATTTTAGGAGTTTTCTGTATTCCTGTAGGTGCAGAAATCAATCACTCTAAATTGTGACCTGAAAGAGTTTTCATTAAATCATTTACTCTTATGGTATTTGGTAACATTGATATATCTGCCCTCAAATCACCAAAGTTTGAGGGCGAAGCACAGTCAAAGCCAATCCGTGACTAATCTATTCCTAAGAAACGACACTACTCACCTGCTCCTGGAGATTTTTCAAAAGTGTCACGGCACATGGCAGGTCTGATTCCAGCACCCCCTACAGAAGAAAGAGGAAACGAAAAGAAAATCATTCTTTCCTTCGGATTACGAGAACGCGGGACGTCGAGGGTGGGAAACTCTCCTCTTTCCCTGACACTCCAGACTTCTTTCTCACTTTGGTGCACATGCAGACTCGCCGTAAAGCCAGCCCCTCGGGTTACTGGAGAAGAGTGGTAGGTAACCAGCCCCAAGTCTCCTTACTGCTGCTTTTCCCCACTGTACCAGGTAGGTCACCTCCTTGAAGCAGCTTTCATCACCACCCTTCCCTGTGCCAACAGGTTGCTTCGAGCAGTTGAGGAGAGTTCACAGTTAACCACGGGAGGAAAAAAACAACACCAAACTCACCGACACCGCCATCTTCACAAAGCCCGCTCCTTCCGGCGCCGTACTTCCGGAGCGCCAATGTTGTCTTGATAGACAACTGCAGCTTGCAAATCTAAGCCATTACAAATAGGGGCTCTCTCACTTCCGCCCCGAACAAGATAAACGAGAGGAGGAGTCTGACCTGGCCAATGGAACAAAGGACCTGGCTAAATCGTCACTCAGCAGGAAATCTGAGGACGTGGAAAAAGCACTTGGGACGAAGCATACGATTGGTAGATTGAGTATAATGACTGAAGCTACACCAATAAAAGCTGGGAAACGAATCGATTGACAGCTAGAAAGACCAATGGAGAAAAGGAGTTAGCAGAGCGAACTGAGAGCGTATTGGCTCCCGGATGCCGCAGTACCCTGAGTCTGAGTGTTTTTTTCACGGAGCTTTTCTTGTCATGCCCGAACCGGCCGCTGGGTGACGGGCCTCGGCTTTGCTCTGAGAGGTCCACGCTGCGGGGCCGCCATTGATCGCCGCTCACCTAAGGCAGACGCGCACTTCCACACAGACCTCGTGGCTCTTGGATCGATGCTGTGACAGTACTTTTTTTGTGGCCATGGACAGGTCGCTCCGTCTCGGAGCCTTTTTCGTCTGTAAATAACGGAGTTGGGCCAGAGAGACCTAGAAACCGACTGCGAGGACGTCCGCCCTCTTCTTGAGCGCTGGAGGCAGCTGAGGCAAGGCTCCGGACGCCGCCCCCGCTCTTCACTCCTCATAGTGTGAGGACTTGCAAGGGCACTCGTTTTACAAGTGGGAGAACAGTCCGTGTTTCCATGATGTGTCCCCGGCCATACTGGCCCCCAACAGAACTTGGTTCGAACCCAGGCTGTGCATATTTCACTATGCCCGTCTCATCCATCCTCAGTGCTTTCCATGTCACTCGCTCTGGTTTCTTACAGGCTGCCAAAGTTGGATGGGGGTTCTCTACCCCCTTTATCTGCCTTAGGAATCACTGAAAGAGCAAACGATGGTCTTGAAATAT